TGAAGAAATATTAATTTTTAGTTAATATGTGTGGTAGTTGTACTTTTTATATTTTTAAGATATGTATTTTAAATTGTACACATTATTTTCATTCTTTATTTTATTCATTCAGTCATTCACTCATTCATTCAGCGCTGCGCAATGCGATTTACTAACACTCTATGTTGTCTTGTTCAGTGTCTGTTATAAACCTAAACACCCCTATTTAGTTAAGTGTTGTATTCCAGGTAGACTACCAGGTAATGTTGTGAATGGGTTATTCCATTATGTAGTGGGACATTGATTTCTATTGGTCAGTGTGGTTGATTGGTTTTAAGGTAGAATTGGCGGGAATTACTATAATGATTTCCCTTATTATGAGAACTGGTTTCTGAAGGGTGTACCTGTGTATAGTGAAATTACCTATGTTTAAGTGTTGGAGACACCACCCTTATTCCTGTGAGTAATTTAATAAATAATTAAACTACTAAATAAGTATCTAAATAATTTCTTAATGAATGAGAAATCTAAATAATTCATTTTAATTCATTTTAATCTAAACTTGCTAAATAAAGTGTGAGTGTGTGTAAGGAATGTATATAAAGATTGGTAAAGATCTATAAAAAGCAAGTTAACTATTTTAATCTATTCTTGCATCCTAAATAAAGGATTTGAGAGTTTGTTATAATTTTACGTATTGTTAATTAGGTCAGATATATTTGAAGTGAAGTCAGATTGGTTTAGCTAGGAGTTAGGAATTCACCTTATTCCATAAATGGGTATGTGTTTGTGTATTGATCAGATTGATTAATGTAAATATTGTTTATAAGTTATTTCTATGAATTAGAAGTAAAGTTTAATGGTTTAAAAAGATAACTAAACTGAGTGAAGTGTGACCTAATAATTTTAAACGGTATAAATGTAAGTGAACTATAAATGATTGTGTTAAAGTTATGATTATCTGTATGTATTGTCTTTGTATTGCTTTGTGTGTGTATGTGCTTACATGTTACTGTTATTGTAGGGTTGAACCTTATCTGATCTTATCTGATTTGAACCTATACCAAAATAAATTGGATCCACACCCGAGAGAACCATCTTGTTGTTTTATCAAACCAAGAACCGGTTACAAAAAATGGCGCCCAACAGCATTAGACAACCGATTGGTGGCCGATGACTACTACCGACTACTACTCACTATTCCCGGAAGTTACATTCCTGGAGTGCGGCGGACAGATGGGAAGAAGAGCCCTATTTGATTCACAACCAGCCAAATCCTGATATCCCAGTCTTTGTGGTGAAGAGGGAAGATGGCATTGGAAGAACTAAGACTCTTCATAGGAATCTATTACTGCCAATTGGATGCATCGACCCAGATGAGCAGGAAAAGATTACCAATAGACCAAAACCAAAACCCAGGAAAAAGAAGCCGCAAAACACATCAAGAGTAGAAACAGATCAAGCTAGAGAGGAACATGTAGTAGAAGAAAGTTCTAGTGACTCGGAAGTTGACTATTATTTTAAGGTACCGGTACCACCAGCTAGAAAAGCTCCAGCTGATGACCCACATGTTATCACTACTGAGGGAGCTGAGGAAGCTGAAGCAGCTGAAGAAGCTGAGAGAGTAGAGGAGCAGAGGCCTGAGCCAGAGAGGGTAGCCCGGGAAGACCCTGTACCCCAGGTGGAAGAGGGTAATGGCTCTGAGCCAAGTGAGAATACAGAGAGAGTATTAAGGAGATCAAGGAGAGAGAAAAGACCACCAAAACGGTTAAAGGAGTATCAAGTTTACCAAGTAAGTACTGATGACAGGAGTAAGAGTAAAGTAGATATCCTTAGACAAATGTTGGAGGATACTGATGTTCCAGAGGAACGGTTGATCTTATTGAGAGGTCTGATGGACCTGATTACCAAACTTTAGTACAACTATGTTTTTATGACTTTACTGTATATAGCAGATTATGATGTTACGCTGAGATTAATTAAATGACAGGGACGTCATTTCTCAAGCGGGGGGAGTTTGTGGTAGTTGTACTTTTTATATTTTTAAGATATGTATTTTAAATTGTACACATTATTTTCATTCTTTATTTTATTCATTCAGTCATTCACTCATTCATTCAGCGCTGCGCAATGCGATTTACTAACACTCTATGTTGTCTTGTTCAGTGTCTGTTATAAACCTAAACACCCCTATTTAGTTAAGTGTTGTATTCCAGGTAGACTACCAGGTAATGTTGTGAATGGGTTATTCCATTTTGTAGTGGGACATTGATTTCTATTGGTCAGTGTGGTTGATTGGTTTTAAGGTAGAATTGGCGGGAATTACTATAATGATTTCCCTTATTATGAGAACTGGTTTCTGAAGGGTGTACCTGTGTATAGTGAAATTACCTATGTTTAAGTGTTGGAGACACCACCCTTATTCCTGTGAGTAATTTAATAAATAATTAAACTACTAAATAAGTATCTAAATAATTTCTTAATGAATGAGAAATCTAAATAATTCATTTTAATTCATTTTAATCTAAACTTGCTAAATAAAGTGTGAGTGTGTGTAAGGAATGTATATAAAGATTGGTAAAGATCTATAAAAAGCAAGTTAACTATTTTAATCTATTCTTGCATCCTAAATAAAGGATTTGAGAGTTTGTTATAATTTTACGTATTGTTAATTAGGTCAGATATATTTGAAGTGAAGTCAGATTGGTTTAGCTAGGAGTTAGGAATTCACCTTATTCCATAAATGGGTATGTGTTTGTGTATTGATCAGATTGATTAATGTAAATATTGTTTATAAGTTATTTCTATGAATTAGAAGTAAAGTTTAATGGTTTAAAAAGATAACTAAACTGAGTGAAGTGTGACCTAATAATTTTAAACGGTATAAATGTAAGTGAACTATAAATGATTGTGTTAAAGTTATGATTATCTGTATGTATTGTCTTTGTATTGCTTTGTGTGTGTATGTGCTTACATGTTACTGTTATTGTAGGGTTGAACCTTATCTGATCTTATCTGATTTGAACCTATACCAAAATAAATTGGATCCACACCCGAGAGAACCATCTTGTTGTTTTATCAAACCAAGAACCGGTTACATATGTATTCTTAAACACCAGAATTATTAATAACTTTATGGACTAAAAGCAGCAGATGTCTGAAAACGTAAACTGTGAACTTGGGAAATTGCCTTCCCATTTTACGACTTGAAAATCAATAATCGACGGTAAAATCTACAATCTAAAGCATTTAATGGCAATTTTAGCAGCGAATATAATAATCATGTATTAAATACATTCTGAAAAATTCAGCTGGATCGATAGAGTATGAAGACAGAAGTTTGAAAATCTCGATCTGCCCCAGCTTTTAATTTGCCCCGGCCCGGGTTTGCCCACCCATTTTACCAACATTCATTAAAGCCAATATTTTCTCAATAATCATTTGTTGTAGGATTAAATAAATATTAGTAATAGTAAGTGATATTGTACATGTAGGTTATAAATTACGGTACCTTATAGGCCGAGTATTTTACGTTCGCCTTCACTTTGGTGCATACAATAATAGGAAAAATAGCTCGTTCTTCACATGACTCGTGATTGCCGATGCATTACTGAATGAAATGTTCATCAATGTTTGAACGTTTTTAAAGTTTCGTTAAATGTAAATTGTAACCCGGGGTCTTAGGGCGGTTCGAATTCAGTATGGGTGGAAAGAACGACTCCGGATAAAGTTTACACCATTTATTTGGATATAGAGATGAAATGATGAAATGACATATGATCAGATGACCCTGTAACATAATAAAAGCTTAATATACAACGTTGTAAGATAGCTAACTCTTACTCTCATGTTTTAGAATAAAATGAAAATAATAGTTGTTTCCCTTTATACACAAGACTCAAAAATATTTGTGTCTATCAAAATATATCTCTGACTGCTCATTATTATAATAAACAAAGTATTACAAATATACTGATAATATAAACTCATTCAAGCTTTACTGTATACCATCATGTAAAACCTTATTTCACATGAATTCATAAAGAAAATATTTACATGTATTTATCATCACTCATCAGTACTGTGAGCCTAGATGTATCATGAAATATATATTAAACATAATACTCTAGAAATAATGCTTACCTCACATGAGGTGTAAAGGTCGTCTTACAATATGTAAATTATTCTACATCCTCTGATCATGAGAATTCTATCTAAAGGTAAAAATAAATACACTAACTTCAGCTATTCAGTTCACTGTGCTATCTCTATAGTGTGACGCGAGGCGAACTCGTCAACACAATTTTTATAGGGAACGTTGGTTTTTATTGTGAAAATTATTTAATGCTCCAATTTGATTCACACACTGTAACACTATAATCCACTGCACTAGTAAATCCCAATATATAAATCCTAATGTATCAATTTGATTAAGTAAACCTTGTATTAAACCTTTACCTTTCTTTAAGTAATAAAACCAATTCTATTCTATTATTTATTTACAGTTTAAAGAAAACGAAAGTCATGTAAAATTATGAAAATAAATCAACCCAACTTCTTTTATTCTGCTAACTTACCTAATAATTTCCTATTAAAACTATATGTACCAATGAATACCTTTATATTTATTACAAATCCCTAATATTTTAACCAATCACCAGAGCTACACCTTGGTAAATATTTCGGTGCAACTCGGTGTTCACCAAGATTAACCAAGTCACCAATACACAACACCTTGGTAAATTTCGGTGTAAGATTGGTGCTGGTATTAATTTCCAGGAATAGGGGAAGTAATAGCTGTTTAATAATTTAGGCTACCACCAATAATTTCTCCGAAAGCCCTTGGTGTGTAATAATTTTACCAAAGATCTCGGTGAAATATCAGGTGTCACTTGGTAAATCCTAACCAAACTATAATAAATGTTTAATTACCAAATCCTCTCTAGCCCGTCTTAACTGAGCCTCCGACATCTTTAAAATAATCAACAAGTCTACAGAGCAATTAACCAATTGAACCCTATTTATACTGGTCATCCCCTCAATGACAGTTATATACTGCGAATTAATAGAGATGCTGGCTAAGAAACTCCCCCTACCAGACGGCACCCCACTGTGAATAAATAGACGTTGGGAAGTGATACAAATTAACAAAGAAACATTAAGCAATGTATTTACACAGCAATTCACTACTGTAAAATTAGATCATTAAACAATTATCAGGATATAGAGAGTTACAAAAATTTACTATAAAGGTAAAATATGAATTTGTAACATAACCCCCCTCTTTAAAAAGTTTAGTCCCTAAACTATTTAACTTTGACTGTAGTGAATTGCTTTACATCAATATAACATCATAAAATGTACAAATACACAAACTTTAAGCATTGACGAAAAAGTCTAACTCTTTTTAATCATCTTAATTCACAGTTACTTGCTGCAGGAACAAAATCCCTTTAATTGTCTTTCAATTATGTCCACAAAGTCAGTAAGTTCATAATATTCACATTCCACTTTTAATGCTGCCAAGGCTCCCTTCTCGTTTGGTAAGGTTGGAATAGAAACCTGTCCTTTGTTTCGAAGATAATTGAGAATTACTGCGAAATGTTTTGGGTCCCTGTCCAAGAAATAAGACGGAATAATTCCATTAGAAGATTTGATTTGCATCAACTTTGCCAGCTTAGATGGAATAGATGTTATCGTCTCCTTCGTTGTCTTGAATTTATATCCCCCAACATCTAATTGCACCATGTTCTTCTGCATTGTTTCCAGTTGTTTAATAACACTTAACTCCTCTTCTTCTTTGTCGAATTGGTCATCTGCTTCTATGGATATCTCATCATATTCTTTACTAACTGAACTCACTAACGGCGACCTTGACCTTGTTCGCGATCTGGATGGCATTGGTCTTCGTACGGAAATTTTAGTAATTTGTAATGGAAGGATGTTCTTACTCCATTTTTCTAACTCCTCTTTTGCTTGGCTTCCCGTAGAATCCGTGCGTAAATTAACAATGCTGTAGCCGAATCCTCTTTTGCAGTTCCCATGCTCTTGGTCCTTTCTCGAAAGAGTTGCATTACATTCCTTACAACTATACTTGAATCCACTATGTTGCTCCTGTGCATGCCTATTTGCTGCATATAGGCTCTCTGACTTAAATTTTTCACACACATTGCACACGTAAGTTATTACCTGAAAATATAAAACAAAGATTAAATAAATGAACAGCACGCTACAACCAATCTTAATATAAATAGAAGTCACTATATTGAGTGGGCACTTTATAATTTCGTTTTGCACGTTTCTCATTTCTAGCTTCACTTTTCTCCTTAGATGCACTTTTAAATACACTGTCACTACACTGCACATGTCCAATGTTATCCAAATCACAAACATCACCATCAACATTCTCGTCATCACTTATCTTCACAACATCACCACTCATGTCATTGTCAATCCCATCTAAATGAATATTTTCACCATCACTAGCCAAAATTCTATCCGTTATTTCACTATCCATAGTCTCACTAATAATCCATTCTGGTTTATTTTCTCCCAAATAAGGTTTTAATCTGTCAGAATGCACCACTTTTGGTTTTGATCTCTGAGATTCCTGAATTCTGTACGTCACATCACTTATTTTCTTCACTACTAAAAACGGTCCAATCCAATGATTACGCAATTTTTGAGATAATCCTTTCTTCTTTGTTGGGTCATGTAACCACACAGCATCACCGAATTTATACTCATGAAAATTGATATTTTTGTCATATCTCCTTTTCATTGTATCTGCAGTAAGCTTTAAATTTTCCCTGGCATAATCATGCACACTTCTCATTTGTTCAGCCAGTTGAAATGCATAATCTGATTTGAACTGTTTTTGCTTTTCATGCTGAACTTCGCCGAACATCAAATCAATTGGTAAAGTTATTTCCCTTCCAAGCATCATGTATGAAGGTGACACTTTTGTTGCTTCATGCACAGATGATCTATAAGCCATCATCACAACCGACAAAAACATATCCCAATCTCTTTGCATAGGATCTATGAAAGCTGTTAACATATTTTGAATTGTTTGATTTGCACGCTCAACCATCCCATCTGATTTTGGTCTAAAAGGTGTAGTTCGTGTTTTCTCCATATTTAACAATTCACAGATTTCCTTAAACAATCCTGATTCAAAATTTGTTCCTTGATCAGAATGAATTTCTTTAGGTACACCAAAGACACTGATGAATCGATCAATTAGAGCGGATGCAACAGTTGCTGCTTCCTGGTCACGTAATGGCACTGCTTCAGTCCATTTAGTGAAATAATCAGCTATCACCAGAATGTACCTATTTCCTTTTTCAGTTTCAGGTAGAGGGCCCATTATGTCTATCGCTATTCTTTCCATGGGAGCCCCTACAACATATTTCTTCATTGGTCCTTGATAATGTTTCACAGGTCTTTTTCTTGCAGCACACACATCGCAAATTTTACACATGTGTTGAATATCCTTCCTCATATTAAACCAATAGAATCTACATTTCACTCTTTCCAAAGTTTTGTTAACCCCTAGATGCCCAGAAGTTCTAGAACTGTGTAACTCATTCATCACATATTTCTGTAATTCTTTAGGCAAGACAATTAACCACAGAACTTCTTTTCCACTATCTGATTCCCACTTAAAGTACAACACATCATCCTTAAGCGTTAGTGAATCATACCGGGCCCAGTAATGTTTCACTTCTAAGGATTCGGAAGAAATATCCTTCCATTCAGGTTTAATCCCTGATGATTTCCATGTCATGACATTTTTCAAAATACTATCATTTTGTTGCATTTCCGACATCTCCGGTACGGATACAACTCTGTTACACATAGCGACACCAACTGGCGTAACAGTATTCGGACTCGCACTCGCGTCCTTCTTTAACGCAATTTCCAGCAATCTACCCGAAAACTCACATCCACTGATGTCCGTTTGAATGCCAATCTCTTCACTAGAAGTGACATTCTTTTTCTCAACTTTATCACAATAGGAACACTCAACATGAAAACAAGGTCGTCTGGACAACGAGTCAGCATTCGCATGCAACCTTCCCTGTCTATGTTGAATTTCCATATCATAAGTAGACAAAATTTCAATCCATCTAGCCATTTGACCTTCAGGATTTTTGAAATTAAGCAACCAACGCAATGCACCATGATCAGTTCTCACAATAAAATGTCTGCCATAAAGATAATGATGAAATTGTTTCACTGCTTTCACAACTGCCAACAATTCCTTTCTTGTCACACAGTACTTCCTTTCTGGTTTTGAGAGTGACTGACTGTAATAACATATCACTTTTTCCTGATCATCCTGTATCTGAGACAACACAGCACCAAGTCCTGAATCACTTGCATCCGTGTCCAACACAAATAGCCCAGTTCTGTTTGGGTAAGCCAATATTGGAGGTGACACAAGTAGCTCCTTCAAAGTCCTAAAAGAAAGATCACACTCTTCAGTCCACAAAAATTTCCTCCCCTTTTCCGTAAGCCTGTGAAGTGGTTTGGCGATAGAAGCAAAATTTCTAATAAATTTCCTATAATATGAGCATAATCCCAAAAAGCTCCTAACTTCAGTCACATTCTTAGGAATTACCCATTCCTCAATCACTTTTGTTTTCTCTGGATCTGTAGAAACTCCATTTTCATTCACCACGTGTCCCAGAAATTTCACTTCTTTTTGAAATAAAACACATTTTTCTGGATTTAATTTCAAATTAGCTTCCCTAATTCTTTCAAACACTTGAGATAAATTTGAAACTTGATCCTCAAAAGAGTTGCCAATCACAATTATGTCATCCAAGTATGCCATACAAATTTTCCAATTCAATCCATATAGCACTTTTTCCATTAGTTTTACAAATGTTGCACCACTATTACACAATCCAAATGGCATGACTTTAAACTGCCAAAACCCACTGTCAAATGTTGCAAAAGCTGTTTTTGGTCTATCCTCTTGTTCTACCTCAACTTGCCAATAACCACTTTTTAAATCTAAAGTTGAAAACCACTTAGAACCACTTAAAGCATCTAATGAATCGTCAATCCTTGGTAGCGGTTGAGAATCCTTCACAGTCACATCATTAATTTTTCTGTAGTCCAAACAAAATCTAGCTGTCCCATCCTTCTTTGTCACTAATACCACAGGAGAAGCCCAAGGTCCATTTGATGGTTCAATTATGTCAGCATCCTGCATTTCCTTCACTGAATCTTTCACAATTTGTTGTTTAGCTAAAGGAACTCTCCTGGGTCTCTGCTTTATTGGAGTTGCACCCTGTGTATCTATTTTATGAGTCACTAGATTTGTTCTCCCTATGTCACCTGAATGTTTAGAAAATACATTTTGATTTGAAAGTAATATTTGTTTCACTTTTTCTATTTGATCACTGTTTAAATTCACAGAGCTATCCTCAAATAACCTCTCCAGATGTTTCGGTAAACAATTAGACTCACTTGTCTGACATCTACGGACTTCATTTGTGTCTGTTTCTAACTGCACTTCATTCACCTCAACACATTCAGCGACTAAAACATTTTTATTGAGGCTAATGTCTTGATCAGTTAAATTCAATAGCCTTACGGGAACACTATCTCCAGACACATTAATCACACTCGATGCTACAAAAAGATTGTAATGGTCACTAAATTGTTTACTTGGCTCAATCAAAACAAAATCAGAGTTTTCCAGAGCATCAATCACTTTTCCCTGTACAATTGCTTCACTATTTGCTGGCACACAAGTTGACACTGCAATCACCACTCTACAACACATGGCCTCTACACTAGATTTGAAACAAGGAATAACACTGTTTCCCAACTTTAAATTTTGTTCACTCAAAACGACATCACAATGGTGTTCCATAAGAAAATCCATTCCCAGAATCCCGTCACCTTTGATATCAGCAAGCCACATTTCATGCCAAAAAACCATTTCACCCACTTTCAAGCTAAATTTCCCTTTCCCAAAGAAAGGAGAGACTTCACCAGTGGCTGTCAACATTGCAATATTTACAGACTCCAAACCTGGCTTTTTGTTTTCAGGCATATTCTTGAAAAAATCAACACTAAGAATAGATATGTTTGCACCTGTATCTACAAGCAATGCAATTGGTACACCTTGCACATATGAACGTATATACAAGCCATCACCATTCAACCATGATGATCCAACTAACTTCACTTCGGGCCATTCATTTCCTCCCGAACCCTGGCCCCGGAATTCGGTGCTCTCATGTTTCCCCCCTGATTCAGATTTTTGTTTGAATGGGGTCCATTCGAATAACTTGCCTTATGATAGAGAGCTTCCTGACACAGTCTTAATTCTTTTCTCATTTCATCCATATCCCTTTTCAGTCCTTGAATTCCAAATTGAATATTATTTGGACTTTGTTTAACATTGGTCTGTGGATACCTGCCATTCCCATATTTTGAAGGTGTCGGAGGCCGACTTTTATTTGGTAGCTTGTTGGATGGTTTCTCGGGGTATTGAGAGGTATCCACTGACCTCACTAAAACTTTCCCTCTTTGCCTATCTGCTAATTTATGGGTCTCAATGCGAACTGCGATAATTTCTGCTTCTGAAATATTTTTTGGTCTTGCTTCACGAAGTCTAAACCGCATATCCGGGTCTGTCAAAGAATCAATGAAATGATCCAACGCCAACACATCCAACAAATTAGACGAGGCATTCGGGTATGCTTGTCTAGTTAACTTTCGTATTGTTTGTGCAAGCTCGGGAATACTTTCATCCCTGTTTCTTGTTTTTGACTGTAATCGTGCTCTAAACATTTCAGCTCTATTTGTTGTGCCGAATCGATTCGATAATGCTTTCACTAATTTGTCAAAGTCCCTTCTTTCAGTTGATGACAATTCGTTTAAAATAGCTCTTGCTTGTCCCTTCAGACTTCCTGCCAAATAAAGAGATTTTGATTCATAACTCCATTTGTTTATGTCTGAAAGAATATCAAACTGTGTCACATATTCCTCCCAATCATCAGTTCCATCGTAGTACTGAGGTTTCATCTTAACGGCACTGAGCGATATCGCGCTTGAAATCTGAGGTTTTTGTTCCTTGGGAGAATCAGAATCCTCCAAATTACTCGGTTTCTGTTCACTCTCCCCTGACAAATTTAATGAACTCTCCTCCTTGCACTGCTGACCTTTCTTATCAGACTGACTTATGCTTTTTGTTACTCCTTCAAAAGATGTGTCCTTATTAAATGGTTTGACTTGCTCATCCAAATCCCATTTAACACTCTTTTGAAATCCTAGAGCACTCTTTGGAGTAGAAGTCACAAAATCTGGAACTTTTTCATCCCCAGAATTCAATTCTTGTGAACCATTTTTGACACTACTTTCCTTCTTAATCTCCTTCTCAAGATACAACACCGAAT